GTCCATACACCGGACGCGACAAAACAACAACAACAACACACAACAAGTCATTGGCATACGCAGCGTACAGTTGCATTGGTTATTGAGTGCATGACATGGTATGGCATAGTAATGGATTGACCACAGCGCCGCAGAGCCACAGAGCCACAGACAATAAGACCAGCTACCCACATATGCACAAACATACATACTATACATGTATACATACATTGTGTGCAAGTGTAGGTGCCTTAGAGGTTTAGCACACACACACAAGCATCTGCCCCACACATTCACTGTGTGCCCTGCACACTGCGCACTGCGCACTGTTCACAGTTCACCGCTCTCGGCTGCGTGCGTCACGTAATTGCGTCTCCAAATGCAATTGACACATTTCACAGGCATAAGCTAAAACTAATTACATGTCGATAGAGTGGCGTCGTCGTGGGGGTGGTCTATTTGGTATGACTGCTTGACAAATAGTTGGAAATTTATGTATCCATATCTGTGTATGCTTAAAAGCACCTTCGTGTTTGTGTCTTGTTGGCTTTCATTGCTCCAGTACAGTGACCAGATGTTACTCATACGCCACCGCCGCCCTCGGTTTTTCTCCACATAAACTCAACTGCATTCATTATTAGCTCTTACAACAGTGTTGCTCACTCGTTTCATTTGTCGCTCATTGTTGTCCACTGACTCAGTCACTCACTCTTCAGAGCCTTCTCACTTCTACTTTCTTTCTCTTGCTCTACATCAAGATGTCTGTGGCATTAATTTCATTATGATTATATAGAAATCGCATTGCCCGCCCATCTTTGGTTGACATAAAATGCAACGATCCAGGGGGAAGTATGTGAAAATGAAATTATTGTTACTTTTCGAAAACATATGTTCATAATCTACATTTTGAATAAGAAGAAGGAGAAGAAGAAGAAGCTGCTTGAACTCATTGGCAGCTACGATCTGTTGGTGATGTGAGAAGTTGACTTGATTAGGCAATGAAATATATAAACTTATGCATACATTACCATCATTGACATTTATGTGCATATATAAATATATATATATATAAATGGGTATGTATGTATTTGGCTTCATTTGCTCATTTGTTGTGTCGGTTGGTTAATTAGTAAGTGAGATAATTGTAGTATAACCATTGATTTGGTAATTCTATTTTACTCTCAGGCTTTGGCATTAAATTACTTGTTGTAGTTGTTCTTGTTGTTTATCATTCTTATGTTCATTAATTCTACTATTCATCATTTTTAACCGCTCAGTGGTGATGCAAAACCGGTAACTGAATGTTAAGCTTGCATTTGTGGTTTAGGAAACAGTTGTTGGGCAGTAAAATAGTAACACTTGAAATATAAATCTTGATTTTTATTAAAAAAATTTGAAAATTCTTTTGACTAAGGAACACAGCCTCGTTAATATTTCTAAAAATTATGAAATTAAAAAAAATTGTTTAAATTAAACTTTTCGCTACAACACAATAAAAAATGTTGCTAAAGAGAAAATGTTAAAAAAGCAATGATTTCGGCTTAGCGAAAGTGTCGCAATCAAAATTTTCTAAATGACAATTTGAAAATGTTACCAAACAATAAATCCTGCAAGACACAAAATGTTGCCAAACAATAAATGTTGCCCAACAATAAATGTTGCCCAACAATAAATGTTGCAAGAAACAAAATGTTGCTAAGTAAGAAAAAAATCAATCAAAAAAGCGGCAAATACAGCCATTTACATAAAAAATTGTCTAAAATAAAGAAACAAACGCGTACATACATTTGATCTCTTCAATGAAACAAGTTATAGCAACAATTTATTGGGTTACGATATGTGTATGGTGATGAAGCCTTAAAAGGAAGACAGTGTCAAAATTGGTTTCGCAAATTCCGTTCTGGAGATTTTTCACTTAAAGATGAGCCACGTTCAGGTCGGCCAAATGAAGTTGATGATGACCAAATCAAAGCATTAATCGAATTGGATCGTCATGTAACTGAGCGTGAGATAGGAGAGAAGTTAAATATACCAAAATCAACCGTTCATTATCACATAAAAAGTCTTGGACTGGTGAAAAAGCTTGATATTTGGGTACCACATGTATTGAAAGAAATTCATTTAACACACCGAATCAACGCCCGTGTTATGCACCTTAAACGCAATGAATTCGATCCGTTTTTAAAACGAATCATAACTGGAGATGAAAAATGGTTTGTTTACAACAACGTTAGTCGTAAACGATCATGGTCCAAGCATGATGAAGCCCCACAAACCACTTCGAAGGTTAAACTTCACCAGAAGAAGATTACACAGTGATTTTCGTGGGATTGGAAGGGTTTAGTTTACTCCTATTTTGAGCTGCTTCCAAGGGACCAAACGAATAATTCGGATATCTTTTGCGAACAACTGGACAAATTAAATACATTCATCAAGTAGAAGCGCTAGAATTGGTCAATCGTAAAAATGTCACATTCCACCAGCTCAATGCAAGACCGCACACATCTTTGGTCACTCGCCAAAATCTGAGAGAGCTTGGTTGGGAACCGTTATGCATCTACCATATAACCCTGATCTTGCGCCGTCAGACCACCATTTGTTTCGATCTTTGCAGAACTCATTAAATGGTAGAAAAAAAATTTTGCTCTAGGAAACACAAATTAAAACCAGAAAAACTATTAAAAAATTAAAAAAAAAAAATATTGATAAAGACTAGTTCTTTTAGTGCAAAACACTCAATTATTAAATAAATATCGAGTTATTAAAATGGTGAAAAGAAAAAAAATTTTGTTTACCAGAAGGTATCAAAAACAATATTTTCACAGTGAAAATTGATAAATGACTTAAAATGTTTCCACGAAAAAAAAATTGAAAAATTGTTTAGTGTAAAACGCCTCAACTACTGTTATTCAAATGAAAACTTTAAATAATTTTTAAAACCATAAATTTTGCTACAACAAAAATATTGCAAGACACAAATTGTTGCCAAAGAAGATGCAGATTTTTAAATAAAATTATATCAATAAACTAAAACTGTTTAAAAAAAAATAAATAATTTTGTTAAAAATATAAAAAGTTGCTAAAAATTTAAAAATGTTGTTAAGAATATAAAAATTTTACGAAACGCAAATAATACTGGAAGCAGCCCAATGTTGCTAAACATTAGTAATCGAATTCATTTTTAAATCGAAAAACGCCATTGAAAAACTCTTTAAATATAAATTTTCTTCATATTTATGAAATTATTGTGAGACTTCAAGTAAAAATTATTACTTAAACTAAAATTTTTCTTATAAAACAAACATTTTTTTAAGCAGAAAATAATTTAAAAATAGCTTTTTAAATGAAAAATATTTAATTAATATGAATTTTCGTTCGATAAAGCGCTACCAATATAGTTTACATGAATTGCTTGTAAAAATAATGAACACTGTTAACATTTTTAAACAAATAATAAATAACGAAAAAAATAAAATAAATTATAATTTAAAGAAAAAAAAATAAAATAGAAAAAATTCTAAATAGAATATTACCCGAATTCAATAATATGTTAAATAAAAAACTTTTCTTACAAAAAATAGTATGCAAAAAATATTATTTTTCAATATAAAACATTACAAACAAAATCGTGAAAATATTACCACAGAAAAAAATGTGGTTGATTTTTTTTTTTCAAATAAAATGTTATCAAACATAAATATTTATAACTAAATTCAAGAAGCAGAAATTTCAGTAATTAAAAAAATTGCTTTGAAATACTTTTTTATTTCCATTTCAACTAACAACAACTGTAATTTCAAGTTTCTTTTTTAGTTTACATATATATTATATATGTATACGATGCATATCCGTTTTTACTACGCTTTACGGTTTTGAAATGCACTTCTTGAAAATTAATTCGTTTGGCATGCGCTGAGCATTGGAATATTTTATCGATTAAATTCATTGTATTAACCTTCACGAAATGGTATTGACTGACCAGCCAAACAAACTAGAAGTGGCCAAGCAATGCTTGATTGATTTACTGATATTTAAGCCTGTGTATGTGGCAGGAAATTGGTCAATAATATTATTTTTTATATTGGAAAATTATCGAGATATTTCAGAGAATTTTCTAACAAATTCTTAAACACCTTTCTGTCTGTTTTTGGGAATTTCAAATCTTAAAAATTTTAAACTTATAAAAAAATCAAAATTTGTTAAATTAAATTTTTATCATATTTTTCCTTGCATTTTTAATTAGTGATATAAAACATTTATTATTTTCAATATATGAAGATGATATTAAGTTAGGTTAGGTTGTTGTGGCTGCCGTTCTATCTTGTCGGATTCACTTAGGCCTTACACAGACTCCTTGTGATACCATAAATATTTGACCGTTTTGATGCAGTAATGAACCTCATTAGATCATTCAGTAGTAGGGTTTCGAAACCTAGCCCTATTTAAAGTAGGACAGTTGCATAAGAGATGGGTAATGCTTTCCTCCTCCTCAACTTCCTGGCAGCTTTTGGGATTTTTCTATAGATAGTCCCTAGTTTTTCCGTGTGTCGTCCTTTCAGAACTCCTATTACTTAGTATAAACTGTAGGTCCCTCCATTTGTTGCAAAAACTTCAAGACACAAAACCACATATTGGAGAGGGAGATCGTTTCAGCGGTTACAAAGCGCCAATTATATATATTTACGCGAAGGTCTCTCGACAATCCTTTAAAATACCCACCCGCGAATTATTAATATAACGGGTTTATTTGGTTCAATATTTATTAAAAATTTTATAAATTTAATGTATAAGTCAATTTGTGCATTAATTTAAATTTGATTGAATTTCAAAATTTTTTTCTATTTCAAAAACATTTTATAAAATTCTCATTATATATATGTACATGTAAGTAATGCATACGCTTATAATTGAAATAGAGACAAATGGACAAAGTATAAATAAAAGTGCATACGAACATATTTATATAAACAGATATAATATATACAATATATATATAAATAAATACTAAATATATATATATATTTTTTTATTTGCTTTTACTATAAGCTTATTGACTTCTTATCAAATCGCAAACATGTCAGCACAACGCTCCGGGAATTCACTGGAAAACTTCCATTAACGGTGATTTTTCGCATTCATTAGCTAACTTTTACACTTCCTTAGCTCCCCAGTTCTAGCTAAAATGATAAGTTTATCAGCCAAAGAAAAATGGTGCTACTGAGTTTTCGTTATTATCGAAAAGCATTTAAATTTTTGTTTCAATTACACTCCCTCGGTGTTAGTTAAGAATTCAAAACACAAATTTAAATATTTTGGATTAGTAAACAAAATTAAATTAGTTCAAAGTAAAATGATAGTTATTGCGTTGGTAACTGTTTGCATGCTTACATATCTGTCAGACTAACCCAATTTTCTGTGTATATACATATGAACGTGTATATATGTGCTTGTGTAGTTTTTTTCATTGACAAAAAATGAAAAAATACCGACAGTCAGACCTTTTTATTCGGTTTAATCGTTTGTTTTCATGTTGAGGTTATGTGTGTCTGTGTGTATGTACACAGGTGAAAAATCGTAATAAAAAACATACTCATGTTTTCTTTCTGAAGTAAAAATAAGTAAATAAATACATTTATCTTATCATTTCTCTTGGCCTGTTTTTGAGCTCATCTACTGTTTTATATAATTTGTTTGCTTTTTTTTCTACTTTCTTGTAATTAAATTAAATTATTTTATTTTATTTACATTTTCTTAAGTATTTAATTTCGTTCATTTAAATAATTTAATTTTATTTTTTATTTAATTCGTTGAATATTATTTATCTTTCTCATATTTGTTTGATTAGTTTTTATTTTATTTATTATTATTGTTTAATATTTATTTTATTTTAATTTATTTTTTTTTTGTTTTATTTTATATTTTTTCATTTTATTCTGACTTTTTATAAAATAATGTGATTTCAAAAGTACAGAGCTACATTTTGACGTCTGTCAAATTTAACTGAGAAACCAAACATTTTTTGTTTTAATTAATTTTAATTGAATGTGATCACTTAGTAGCCGCATAAAGCAAAAATGGTGATTATGGTGCTTTTAATAAAATTTTGAAGAAATTCAAAGAAACTGATTCAGCTAAAGCTGTTGGAATTTCATCATCACTTTGCACGTTCCACCTCAAATATCGCTACTGTATGTGAAAAGGTAGCCGAAGACCCGAATGTGTATATTTCTCGACGATCTCATGAGCTAAGATTTTCTTTCCACTTCCACTTAAATCAATATTCATATAATGGCGAGCTTACATAACAACTGAAGCCAACAGATCATTCTTAACGACACACATAAGTCGATTGGGTGCTTGAAAAAAGCAGTGGAGCAAAACTGTCGCGTTTGGGACTCTAAGAATTCTCATATAGTTGAAAGGAGTTAATGTCTGGTGTGCTCTTTGGTTCGGAAGTGTGTTTGAATCAAACTTGTTTGAAAATTACAACGGCTCACTGTCAATGCGGAGCATTAAGGTCGTATGATAACCGACTTTTTTTTAGGCCTGCAATTGCAGAACACGACTCGAACGAAATGTGATCTCAACAAGATGGTTGGTGCCGCATGCCACACAACACGAGCGATTATTTCGAACACGAGCGAAATTCTCGGCGTTCATCGTTGGACCTTTTTTGTGGGGCTAAGCGAAAGACGGTGCTTATGCGATTAAAGTATTAGCTCTTGAGCAATTGAAAAGCAAAATCGTCTAAAGTGAGCGAAAATGTGGTCGGAAATTATCTCAAATGAATCAATGTTGTCTTTCACATGTAATGCTACGGTGCGAACGACGAAATTTCTTGTATAAAATTATTTGAAATGCATTTGATTTACGTTTGGAAACCGTTAAATTTTTTATTTATTTATTCTTCTCTTATCTTTTTCTTTATTTATTTTATTTTATCTTATCTGATCTTGTTTTATTTAAGTTTAACTAATTTTCTTTTGCTTTAGATTTTTCACCTTTCATTTATTAAATTCTATTTATTTTTCTTTGATTTATTTTAAATTATCTAACTTTAATTAAATTATTTTTTATTTATTTTTCTTTTCTTAATTTTTATTGTTTTACTTATTTCATATTATTTTGCTTTATTTTGAGTTGTTATATTTATTTTTTTTATTTAATTTTATTAATTTAATTGTAATTGTTTTTTCTTATTATTTTAAGTTGTGTTATTTTTTTTTGCTTCTGTTTTATTTCATTTCGTTATTTTATATTTTTCTAGCTTAGTAATTTTTTTCCTGGTAATATTTAATTATTCTTATTTAATTTTTTTTAGATTTTATTTTATTTTTTTCATTAAATTTTATTTTTATTTGATTTACTATGATGATTTTATTTTTATTTATTCTATTTAATTTATATTTTATTTTACTATTTTTTTATTTTATTTTATTTGTTTATTTAACTACAATTTTTTTTATCTATTATTTAATTTTAATTTAATTTTTTTATTTCATTTTATTTTTTATTTTATTTCATTTTAATTATTTTCTTATTCTCTTTTATTTTATTTTTTTATTTTATTTAATATGGTCTTATTTTATTGTTTTTATTTTACTATTTTCTCAATTTTATTAATTTTATTTTTTTATTTTATTTTATTTTTTATTTTATTTCATTTTAATTATTTTCTTATTCTCTTTTATTTTATTTTTTTATTTTATTTAATATGGTCTTATTTTATTTTTTTTATTTTACTATTTTCTCAATTTTATTAATTTTATTTTAATTTTATTTTATTTAAATCTCCTTTTTCTACTTTTTTTACTCATGGTCAATCTATAAGTCTTTTTTATGGCGTATCCAACTTGCCTAGGGCATAATCACAACACCAATCAACAAAACCAATATTGGAATAAAGAGCAAGACTCCTCCACAACGAAAATGGCAATTTCCATGCGCATTTTGTTTGCAACCTTCTGCATTGTCGGCGTGCATTTGCGCGTAGCGATAGTCACTTCCACTTCCTCCTTCTCGTCATTTGTTTGCAATCACACATACATATATACGTACATATATACTCGTATGTATGTATGTATGTATGTATGCCTAAGGAAAAATTCCAATAAACGCATACACCAGTTCATTTATCTATTAATCTGTGATGTGCTGATGTGCTGATGTGCATATCAATGTGTAATGCCTGTAGAGCATGTACGCGTAATCAGATACATTATATATATATATATATACATAATATATACATATTCGTATATAATATATATGTGTTAGCATTTTTGTACAGTTGAATGCGGCGTGCTAAGGCGCGTACATGCAATGTCGAAGGTCAATGTTGCATTGCGACCCCGAGCCGCATTTTTTATGCTTCTACAAACAGACATACAAATATGTATGCTAGCATATAAATACATATGCATATGTAAATTTATATATTAACCATGCATTGGCTTTATTGCCTCATGATGCATATTAGACACTAATAAAATAAAATAATAATAATAAAAACAGAAAAAGCTATGAAATAAAATACAGACAGATGTCGGTGAGGAAGACAACAGATGGTTATATATATACGAGTATGTACGCTAACGGTGTTGTTAGGAATAACTTATGACGCCTTTAGATTTGAGTTTTTAGTTTTCCAATTTCGTTATTTAAATTTTTTTTTATTTTATTACATCTTATTTAATTTTATTGTACTTTATTTTGTTTTATTATAATTTATTTCATTTTATTATTCTTTATTTTTTTTTAATTTAATTTATTTTATTTTTTATGTAATTTAATCTTTTTTATTATTTACTATATATTTATTTTGGTTATTTAATTTAACTCAACTTAATTTAATTTAATTTGATTTTATTTTATTTTATTTGTTTTTCATTTTATATTTTTTATTTAACTAATTATTTTAATTTTATTATATTTAATTTCATTTGTACTTGTACTTTAATTATTTTATTGTATTTATTCTTTAATTTAACTTAACTTAATTTAATTTTATTTTAGTTATTTAATTTAACTTAACTGAATTTAATTTAACATTTTTTATTTTTCGTTTATTGTTTTCATTTTATTGTACTTTATTTTATTTAATTTATTTTACTTTTTATTTTATTATATTTTTTTAATTTAATTTAACTTAATTTAACTTTATTTTAGGTTAAAATTTTTTATTTTTTGTTTATTGTTTTCATTTTATTGTACTTCATTTTATTTATTTTTTATTTTATTATCTTTTTTTTATTAAACTTAACTTAATTTAATTTTATTTCAGTTATTTAATTTAACTTAACTTAATTTAATTTTATTTTAGTTTAAATTTTTAATTTTTTGTTTATTGTTTTCATTTTATTGTACTTTATTTTATCTATTTTATTTTTTATTTTATTATATTTTTTATTTTTATTATTTATTTTTTTTTTTATTTAACTTAACTCAATTTTATTTTATTTTAATTTAAATGTTTTTAGTTTTTGAGCTTTTGTTTATTTTTTAATTTTATTATATTTTAGTTACAAATGTTCAAATCCATGTGTATGTAGTAACGCTCCAAATTGTTTACTTTCGCACCATCGTAGTCTTGCCCTGCCCTGTTAGCCAGTCGATTGTGCTTTGCCTGCGTTTATTACAATATCAAAAACAAATTTACATAACGTTCACTGATAATAAAATTGTTGCCAATGTTGTTTACCTATCAACTGAATTGACTGAGTATCTCATTGGCTTAGTAACTGAGTGACTTATATATCTACTTTCATATTTTTATTTTATTTTATTTTAGTATCTCATTGGCTTAGTAACTGAGTGACTTATATATCTACTTTCATATTAAATTTACATATTCATTATACATATTTTGTGTATATGTGTGTATGTTTGGTTGTCTGAATACAAGTAGATTATTGTAAACTGAATAATTGCTAACTACTTAGTTACATTCTTGCATACATAGTGACTAACACATAATAGTTGGCTTCATAGTGGGCGTGATGATTGTTGGCTACATACAATACCTTATGCGCATAGATACTTATGTGTATATATGAATGCACTTGCTTGTTTAAAGTTACTTTACTGATCGTTGGCTGCTAACACTTACTATTTTTATAGCATACAAATATTTTTACCGATATACACTATACATACATATGCATTTGTATTTGCTTACTTACCAATGCCCACCGTCGCTGTTGTAACTAGTCCGAGGCAGTCGTAATCAAGGTTCTCAAGCTTTGTTTATTGGCACTGAAACTGCGACAACATTCATGGAATTTGTTGCACAGTTCATTGTTATTATTGTTTAGGTTTTTTTTCTATACCTTTGAATTTGATACGAGCAACAATGTAGTAAACCACGATTCACTTTTCTGTTTTGATAGGAAAAAGAGGTGGAGATATTATAAGACAAGTTCCCATTATGTTCTTTATCTTCAGTTTGTTTACATTTGGCATACCTCGGCATAGAGTAAGATAATAAGGAAAATGAAGAAATAAAATTCAATTAAAAAAGGAAAAAAATAAAATAAATTAACAAAATTAAATAAAATAAAATAAAACATAAAATAAATTAACAAAATTAAATAAAATAAAAAATAAACAAACTTAAGTGAAGTGAAATAAAACAAAACAAAATAATAAAACATAAAATAAATTAGCCTAAACTAAAATAAAAGAATTAAAAAATAATTAAAATAATAAAACAAAATAAAATTAGAAATATACTAAATGAAAAGTAATTACTAAAGAAAACAAGTAAAAAAAATACAATAAAATAAACAAACTTAACTAAAGTGAAATAAAATAATAAAACATAAAACTAACATAAAGTAAAAGAAATAAAATAAAATAAAATAAAAAATATAGAATAAAAAAAAAATTAAAAAATAGTAAAATAATATAAAATAAAATGAAAGCAAATGAAATAAAATAAAGAAAATAAACTAAAAATAAAATAAAAAAATAAAATAAAATAAAAAAAAATAAAATAAATAAATCATTAAAATGAAATTATCAATTTTGTTAAAAAAATAAAACAAAATAAAGTAATATAACGTATAATAAATTATCCTTACATTAAATAAAAAACTAAAATAGAAATAAAATAGAAAAACCAAGTAAAATGAAAAATATAAAAAATATCAAATACAAAAAAAAAAATAATGAAAACAAAGAAAATAAAATGCATTGAAATAAAAAATTTAAATGAATTGAAATAAAACAAAATAAAATGATAAAACATAAAATAAATTAACCTAAAATAAAATAAAAGAAAAAAATAAAATAAAAATATAAAACAAAAAAATAAAATAAAAAAATAAAATAAAAAATAAAATAAAAATATAAAATAAAAAAATAAAATAAAATATTAAAACAAAAAATAATAGAATAAAATGAAAACTAATAAAATAAAATAAAGAAAAAAACCTAAAAAAAATAAAAATAAAAATTAATTAAAAAAATAATAAAATACAAATACAATTTTGTTCATAAAATAAAATAAAATAAAATGAATTAACCTAAAACAAAATAAAAAAATTAAATAAAAGACTAAGAATAAATTAAAAAAAGAGAAAAAAATAGAAAATAAAATAACTTAGTAAAATAAAGTGAAAACAAATAAGATAAAAAAATAAGATAAAGTAAAAAAAGAATAAATTAAATTAAAAACAAATAAACTAAAACGAAACAAAATGAATTAAAGTATAGTGAAAATTTATAAAATGAAATAAAATACATTAGAGTAATGTAAATTAAGGTAATATTAAATGAAACATTATAAATAAAATCCAGAATAAAATATAATATTACAAATTGTGGTAAAAGAATTTTAAGTTTTGAAAATATATTACATATATAAGTATTTTCTTTATAGCATTAAAATTAAAAATTTAAATACACATACGAAAGTCGATATTTTATAGTATAGTAAAATAAAAAGATTATTTAAATTATCCGTTATCTTGCTTGTATCTAGTAAAACAAGTATTTACCAATTAAAAAAAACTACGTTAGAATTCGCTAATGAAACCTGTTATTGTTAAAAGCCGAAATTAAATACAAAATTTCGAATAAGCGATGCGTTAACAAAGTTGATTAATACCATTCCAAGGCCTAGATTCTCGAATTCAATGTTGTGTATGCAACAAATGTTTAAGATATAAAAATCCATTACCGTCGTCTCAACCTTTTCAGCTGCATTTATCTTCATGTGCACATAATTACGTAGATGCACCGGTATTTATATCCAAATATTGCATGTGCGTAAAATTGTATATAATAGTACGAATGTATCAAAATTTCTGTGCGCAACGTTAAATTCATATAATAAATTCGTAGTGCGTAGCAATGACCTAGAAGCACCACCACCATTATCATCACCATCATACTATTCATCAGCGTTGATAATTACCGCGAAGAATGATAAAAACAAATAAACTACAACAAATTTACTCTTCATCGACACGGATATTGTTGGCATATATTTGTTGTTTTAATAGTTGAAATGGAAATTTGTAAAAAATATGGAATTTAAATGCTTTAAAATTAGTTTCTTTCTGTCGTTTTTTTATTAAATTATTTATACTTATTTATTTTTCATTTTTTTTAAATGAATTTAAATTTATAAATTTAATATTTAATATTATTTCATTATACCTTTTTTATTTTATAATTTTATATATCTCTCATTTTCTTACTTTATTTTATTTCAATTTAATTTATGTATTTTAGTTTGTTATGCTTTATATTTTTTAATTTTATTTTATTTAATAGATTTATTTTCTTTTTTTATTTTAATTAACTTATTTTATTTTATTTTACTTTATTTTATTTTATTTTGTTTTATTTTATTTTATTTTATTTTATTTTATTTTATTTTATTTTATTTTAATATTTTTTTTTATTTATTTTATTTTGTTTTATTTTATTTTATTTTATTTAATTCTATTTCATTTTATCTTATATTGTTCATTTATTATGTTTTTTATTTTTTTTTTTGTTTATTCTATTTGGTTTTATATTATTTTAGTTTGTTTGTTTAATTTTTTCTTTTCTTTATTTAATTTTTTTGTCATTTTAAATAATTTAATTTAATTTAATTTTAAATCATTTATTTTTATATATTATATTTCATTTTGTTTTACATTATTTTATTTAGTATTATTTTATTATTGTGTGTTATTAATTTTTGATTATTTTATTCTTTATTTAATTTTTTTTTATTTTATTTTATATTATTTTATTTATTATGTGTTATTAATTTTTTGTCTATTTTATTTTGTTTATTTTTATTTTTTTTATTTTATCTTATTTTATATTAATTAATTTATTTTATTTTATGCTATGTCAATTAGTCTCATTATATTATTTTCCTTTACTTTATTTTATTTTATTATTTTATTTATTTTTTATTTTTCTATATTTGGCTTTGTTTTATTTTTATATGTTTCCCCCTGTTTTCGCTTTATTATATATAGTCTTATTTTCGTTATTTTATTTTAATTTAATTTAAGTATTTTTTTGAAAAGATATTTATGGTGAATTAATTATTGCGAAATTTGTGTCAATATCACGTTTAGTATTTGTGTTATTTCAACATTTCTTCATACACTTTTCACTTCCGATAGGCCAATCAATGCTTTACATGTAGGGGCAATTAGGCGACGACACCAACAACGATGAAATAGTAAAAGCAAACTATGAAAAGACAAACAAAAAACCAAACATCAAATTGACATATGTATGTTACATACAAAAATGAGTTGGTAATTGACAACAACAAAATTGAATAACAACGACAATGTGGTGGCAGCGCAAAATGGGTGCAATGAGCATAGGAAAAAGACAAAAGAAAAAAGCCTGCTAGGAAATAGACATACATACATTTGTATAAATATTGTAATTATAAAACAATGCAAAAAAAATTTTAAGAAAATAAACACATAAACAAAGTTACATAAATTTCTATAATATAAAACAAAAACTAGACATAAAAACAAAAGAAAAAATTAAAAAAAAAAAATAATAATTGAAAGTGCAATCGAAATTCATAGACTTTGCGAGGTGCTACCTACCTTTCGGTGTTTTTGCATTGTATTATAATTTTTGTTTGGCACAAATATCATTAATTTACGTAATAAGTAAGGCACATACATATATTACATATGCACTTAGGCGTATCTCATTTACAATAACACTGTTTTTAATACTTACATGTTTACACTCGTACATATGTATGTTTATATCTGCATATTGATTTTTGTTGGCAATAACAAAAAAATGATTATTAGTTAAAAAATAAATTTTATTTTGCAGTAAAAACAACTTTTTGTATAAAAGCTCGCAACATTAACGGAATATGTACATTTTTATGAATATATATATTATATTTGGTTTTTTTTTTCACTGATATTTTAATATATTATTGTATATAGTAGTGTATATTTGGGTTAAGTGTAAACTATTTTTGCTTCCTGTGCATGTTACACATACACATGCATACATAACATAATTAATAATTTTTTTTTTGTGTTTTTCTGTTTAGTGTCAGCAATTTTTAACTTTTTTACTTCTGCGGTCAATCACCTGGATTTTTTATGTTTTTGTTATATTATATTGATTATTTTTCTATATTTATTAAGATTATTATTATTACATATTTTTTTTAATATTTCTACAATTTTTATTGTTTTCGTGTGCTGGTCCGATCAAAATCAAATACAAATTTAAATTAAATTAATTTTAAATTAATTTTTCCAATTACGGTCGCCCATCAGCAGGTACTGTTGTCAACTTACCCCTCAGAATGTATTTCGGATACGAAATGACCTAGCATTTTTGTTGACAATAACATGCCGAACATACCTTTGAGACGACGGCTCAGCGACAATTCTTTAGGCAGTTTTCTAACCCCACCCATACAAGCAAAAAATAATATTATTATTATTTTTTCGATTATTACTAATGATTATAAAAATAATAATTATAATAATAATAATAATAATAATAATAATAATAATAACAATAATAATAATAATAATAATAATAATAAAAATAATAACAATAATAATAATAATAATAATAATAATAATAATAATAATAATAATATTAATAATAATAATAATAATAATTAAAATAATAATAATAATAATAATAATAATAATAATAATAATAATAATATTTTAATAATAATAATATTATATTATATTTATTATTATTATTAAAATATTATTATTATTATCATTATTATCTTTATTATTACTTTTCTATAGTATTTTTATTACATAGTTTTTCATCTTATTATTAATTTTATTTTATTGTATGTATACATAATATATAGTATATTATCCAAGGTCTCTTGTAGGGTAGATAAGACAAACATATGAACATTCGTAGTAACCATTGCCTCTATAGAAGTTGATCGACCATCAAATTATTCGAAAATATTTTTTTTCTTTAGTCTGATTATTGCTGAATT